GCTCCCCCCCCCCCCATGCCCCGTTTTTGGTCCCAGGGGGCTTCAGGGGGGTCTGCTAGACCCAAAATAGGCCGGGGGGGGTTACGTGAGCATGGGGGAACACGGGGGACGGGTTTCATGCACACATGCATGAGGGGCGGCTGCACAGGGGGGGGTCACATGGGTGTGTGTACATGAGCACGCTCTGTCACATGCACAGACACGCTTTCCGCCCACGATGACAAAAAGGTTAGCCATCGCTGCTCTAGAGGCTCAAAGAGGATCAGTTTGGTATAGTGGGTTAAAAACACTGAGCTAGAAACCAGGAATCTATGAGTCCTAGTCTCCTCTCCCAGTCTCATTTCTCTCTGGTCCCCGTGCGTAAAGTCAAGCTGGGTAACTTTGACCCAGGTGATCTCTCACTTTCGCATCAAAAAGGAGGTCTTGGCAAGCCTTGCAAAACAGTGGGGACTAGTCCAAACAAGCATCAGGAATCCACTGATTTGAACGCACCTCCCAAAAAGAAATTGAGAAGGCACCTCCGTTTCTCTTTAGGAGGATTATGAATGAAAACCTTCCTTTTTTCAATGAAGTTTTTTTTTTAGCTCCAGCTGATCAGCATAAGGCACTTCCGCTATACCTGTATGCTTTTGTTTTTACCTTTAACTGGTTATTTTATTGGTTAAAAAGATTTGGTTTGTTATTACTCTGTAGTCCATTGCCCAGGGTTTTTTGACTGAGGGGTTTAACAAATATAAGAGACAGGCAGGCAGGCAGACAAAAGGCAGGCCCAGGACTGAATGACTAATTCTTGCTATTCAAAATACAAGCACTAAACCCAGTAACCATCTCAAAATCCGTAATTTAAAAGTGCCTTTTTTTTTCTTTCTCTCGTTCTTTTTTAAAGCTCCAGGTTTAATAGCCCTATATTACCATTGGGAAAACTGCTGCTTTATTGTTATGATCGCTGTTGTCATAGAAATCCTTCCTAATCTTATCTCTGTTTGTCATTGCTTTCCCTCCTAAGATAGATCTCCTATTTATGCCTCCAGCAAGCTCTACCATGTTTATCTATTCCTGAGCCCAAGAAAACAAATACATCCCCCCGATCTTCCTTCATTTCTGCCACAGCAAATTCAAGTTGGTTTTATCTTTTTTAATATTTAACATTAACTCAGATTAGTCACTTCCCATTGTTGTTTTTATAATTAGGTTTCTAGCTCTTCTTTACTTTCTGCGAGTGTAACCTGCGTATAACCTGCGTTAAGCAACGCTGACACAATAATGGTTTATTCCCACTTTTCTAATCCTGCCATTCTTAGAACTCACTGTAATTTACAGAGAGGGGTAATAACATGAATCTCTGCCTTGCTCCCTTTCCTGTTCTGAGGTACTCAAAATTCAGCAGCTTCTAGTTCCTCTAAAGCAGGGGTGTCCAACCTTGGCAACTTAGCTAGCCAGCTAGATGGGAATTCTGGGAGTTGAAGTCCACAGGTCCTAAAGCTGGCAAAGTTGGATATCCTGTCCTAATGATACTACAACCAAGTGCTTTGATTCACAATTAGCCTTAATGTCTTCTACATTATAGCATAAATTAAGCAATCATATAATCAATAAACAAAATAAGCCATCCTGTGTTGTGTATCGTTTGTTAGAAAGCTGGTCTTGGCTCATTTGGCATTTCTCCCTCCTTCTGTTATGTATGTATGTATGTATGTATGTATGTACGTACGTACGTACGTACGTACGTACATACATACATACATACATATATATGGAGGGAGGGAGGGAGGGATATCCCAAACTCTATGGTCACACTATTTTGTTCCATATTTTTGGATAACATATTTGACAACACATTTGTTTGTCGTTACTCTAACTCTCTAGCTCTTCTCCTGACATTTAAATGGGCATTACAGCTGTGCCTGTATTGTCTTACTTTACTGCCTGTCATCTCTCACTTTCCGGTGATGTCAAATTTAATTTCTCTGTAAATGTTTCTGTGGTTTTATAATCCTGTTTCCCACTACAGGTTTCTGTATAGTTTCTCCATCTTCCTTCTAATAGGTCTGTATTAAGCCCTTTCCTTAATTATTCTTGAGGAGTTTTATCTTGGCTGCACATTTTCTTTTCTTGTCCTTTTCGTGTTTAAAGTTTCCTGCCCTGGTTTCTGGACAATGCCTTGACCACTAGACCAAGCTGGCTCCCATATGAGATAATGTTACGAAGGATATTTCTGATGACATTGTGATCAGGGTCATAAAAGCTAGACAGCTCTTCCACCACATTAAAGTGACAATCTCTTGGGAAGGCTTCATTTATCAACGAGACATATCAACAAGACACAGAGAAACATGGCAAGAGAAAGGCATTTGTTTCCCCAAACTCCAGAGACACATGTCATCATATTATGCTTTTATATAAAGCACCCTGTAAATATCAGATGTCCATGAAAGAAAGTTACCTGAATATAATGTTCTCGAGATCAAAGGGGTATTCTATGATCCCAGTTGTTGGGACTCTGACCCGCAGGACGTCTTGTTGGGTTGGGAGGTACCCTGGGGTGGCAATACGATCCACATCGGTAAGGTAGCTGCAAAAAGAATGCATGAGGGAAAGATTAAAGAGGCTTAAGTTTGGCAGCCACATTAAATGCCTTTGAAGAGAGAAGATTATAACAGAGAATGATAAAAGAGCTCCGATACAGAAAGGCTGCTCGGTTCCTCAAACGTTCAAGGCTGGTTTCCAACAATATCCCACATCCAAGAATATAGAATTTATATCCTCTGCTTGTAGCAAGGCACAAATACTCCTAAACCTTTTATCTAACTTCCCATCACTTACAAAGATAGGCGTTCTCCTGGTTACAATTCACCTAAAGACAGAAAAGCAAGGCAAAGGATTTCTCAGCCAACATGACTGGGCCATCCTGGGAGTTGAAGTTCACATGTCTTAAAGTGGCCAAGCTTTGGAGACCTCTGAATTACAGTATCAGCTGCTTCCTTCTGAAGAGACAGAGGTGATTTAACACCCCTATTCCTGTTACTAACCTGGATGAATGTTCCCTAGATTGGTGGAAGTTGTTGAAACAGGACTGAGAGTTGCAATTCTATACAATAAGAAAGCTTTCCTCCCTCAGTGGCTATTCTTTAGGTGTGCAGAAAGAGTTTGGTGGTACATTTCATATTTTTCTTTTTGCCAAATGTCTCCAATCCAGAGATATTAAGAATTCCACACAATTGGGCTTCCCATCTACACAACTTGATGCATGGACCAAGGAATCTAACTTGGATGCTACTCAGAGGCACAACATGAAAACACCAATGCAGAAATGAACATGAGATTCTGAGGCTTCTCAGATTTCAAAAGAAACCTTGAGCAATACAAACAGCAAAACTATGGCCTTACTCGGGCCACAACATAAGATCAAGAGGGAAGGACCATCACCAGAGGTATGCTACGTAGCTCCTTCAATATTTTCTTCCTCTCCACCAACATTGCCTCAACACCAACTTCTCCTTACCACTTTAACTCCAATCTAAGATCAAGGAGCTTTATTATCCTGGGAGTGCATTCTATGCCCAAAACATGGAAAGCATCTATCTACTCTATTTTGCCCTATTTCTCTAATTCTGAGCACCGCCATTCAAAAGGAGCAGGAACACATTTGGATCAGATTCAGAGGACAGCTAGCAAGATGGAAAGGAGATTGGAAACCAAGCCCTATGCAGAATGATTCAGGTATGCCTAGCCTGAAGAAGGCACAACTGAAAGCAAATATAACATTGTCAAATACTTAAGAGAAAGGTAAAGTTTCCGAGGTGGCGCAGTGGTTAAATGCAGCACTGCAGGCTGCTGCTAGATCAGCAGTTCAGCGGTTCAAATATCACCGGCTCAGGGTTGACTCAGCCTTCCATCCTTCCGAGGTGGGTAAAATGAGGACCCAGATTNCCCTTTAGAAAAAACCCCAGGGGTGTTCAAACCTGACAGCTTTAAGATTTCTGGACTTCAACTCCCAGAATTCCTCCTCTTGCTCTTCATCTTGATGATGACCGGATGCGAGGGGGGAGGGAGCTGGAACCGGTTCTAAATGGCACTGTAGATTTGTGGAACCTCTTCTATAGAAGAGGTTAGAACTGGCAGGAACCCACCTCTGCTCACTAGCAAAGTGATTCTGGACACTTTCAACACAATAAGGGGGAAAAAAAACTACAAGAATATTAAAATGCTAAAAGCATTCAAATAAACAGGAATTGATAAAAATGAGAACTAATACATGAGTGGAACGGAGTTGAAATCCTCTTTCTTAGTCCATTCATCATCTCCACGCCAACATTACCCTCACTCACAGTAGATTTAAGGACAGGCAGTGCTTCCAGGAGTTGTGGGTGCTTCAACACTGGAGATTTTTTAAGAAGAAAAGTGACAGGCATTTGCCTGGAATGATATAGGCAGTGGTGGGATTAATCCAGTTCACACCACTTTGGGAGAACCGGGTTATTAACTTTCTGAGCAGTTTGGTGAACTGGTTGGTGGAAGCAATAATTAGAGCAGAGAACCGGTTGTTAAATTATTTGAATCCCACCACTGGATATAGGGTCTCCTGCTTCAGCCGGGGGTTGGACTAGAAGATCTCTAAAGCCACTTCCAAATCTGTTAATCTTTATTGGAAAGTTAAGACAGCAACAATACATGGGAGTTTCCTCCATTACAATTGATTTCCCAAACTCATTATAAATATAGCCTTGTCAATTTGGGCGAGGATTCTTAACCTTTTCCAGGTCATTTCCTATTTCCATACATTCACCTACCATTTTTTCCCAAAAATAAGATGGGGTCTTATTTTCTTTTGACCCCCAAAATAGGCACTTGGCCTTATTTTTGGGGAGGTCTTATTATTTTTGAGGTGCAGGAGGAGGGGGATTATGGTCACCTTATGGCTGCTGCTGTGTTGTAATATTTTTAGGGAGGGCTTATTTTGGGGGGAGGGCTTATTTTAGCACATCAAATGCCCAATTGGGCTTATTATCAGGGGAGGTCTTATTTTCAGGGAACCAGGGTATAAAAACTATCTCCAATTTTCAGAGTTATAATGATTTTCAAATAGCAAATCGCTGCATGCAAAACCCAGGGAGCCCTGGACTTATGACCAAAATTGAGCCTCAAATTTCTGTGGTTAAGCGAGACATTTGTTAAGTGAATTTTTCCCCATTTTACGACCTTTCTTGCCACCATTGTTAAGTGAATCATTGCAGTTATTAAGTTAGTGAGATGGTCACAAAGTCAATCTGGATTCCCTGTTGACTTTGCTCACTTGCCAGAAGGTTCCAGAAATGATGTCCCCAGGACCCCGGGACACTGCAACTGTCATAAGTATGAATCAGTTGCTAAAAATCAGAATTTTGATCACATGATCATGGGGCTGCTTCAATGGTTGTAAGTGTGAAAACGGTCACAAGTCCCTTTTTTTCAATGCAATTGTAACTTTGAACAGTCACTAAATGGACTGTCATAAGTCAGGGACGGCCTGTACTTGTTACTATATATTTCTCTGTTGTTACTTTTTCTTTACATACCTGTAACTAAATAACGTGTCTTTGAAAATGATGATAAAGATAATAATTTTGTAAAAAAAAATACTCTGAATATGAATTACAGTGCAAAAGCTGATAGATAACTTTCTGATCCGGATATTAATCAAGGAACAAACAGTACAATCAGTTTCTATTGAAATACAGACATCTTGAGTCACTCAATAATTTCCATTTTCATTCCCTCAGCACCCAGATGTATGCGCAGGACTCCCAAAGATTTAAAAATCAAACCGAAACAAGGACCACAAATCTTTCAAATAAAGCATGCTCACTCCTTCTGATAACACAAGCGTGGAAAGAACTTCAGAAATCAATGAATCTTATGCTCCAGATAGTAGTGACAGAAGTAATATAAAAAGGAAGGATAAAGGATTTATGAAAAGCAAGCAGAATTTGCAGGCTCAAGGAGAGAGAGAGACAGAGACAGAGACAGAGACAGAGAGACAGAGGAAGGAAGGAAGGAAGGAAGGAAGGAAGGAAGGAAGGAAGGAAGGAAGGAAGGAAGGAA